TTGGAGACATTTATTTAATGCAAATTCTGTGAATGAGGCTTTTCACTTAAAAGCCATGCTCATGCTAATCTGCATCTCCTATGTGTAAGGAGACAGTTTTGCCTCATATTTATTCTGAAATCTGCTTGAAAGCTGGAGTTTTTCTGAATCTTATTGTTGGAGACAGCTATCTTGCTGGATGGTGACATTGCCTGTGACACAAGTAGATAAAGAGCCTCACTGCAAGGAAAAGTTGCCATTCTGCTTTATAATGATTTAACTCCCATGGAAAAACACGACCATGTGATTTACAAGCTGCTGTGTAAAACACTGTGGGGCTTTTTCCACTGGGCTCCACCACTCGTTCCAGTGGATCTATGGATGCAAGATGAGCACTGCTATGCATCAGTCCTTCAGATGTCTCCACTAGCTGAGATGAAAAAGTCATACATCATGGGAAAATAATCAGAATATTCAGTTAATGGCATGCTAATCCTTCCCTGCAGAGCATATCTTTAGCTCCTTTCTTTGCACGAGTTTTAGGACAGGAAATTAATGCTGTTGTCCATAGCTAGTAAATATGCTACAAGGGTCTGTAATGGTTAGAAAGGCTACCTTGAGGAAGAGAACTGAAATGTAAAATACACAGAACTCCCTCATTTTAAATAGAGTGAAGTAGTGTTTACTGTCATGAGGAAATTGTGGATGCTGGAGGTTTATATTATGTAATGAGGAAAAGCTTAATAGGAACCACTTGTCAGAAGCTGAAGAAGTTATACTGATATTTCAGTGCCTCTCAGGTAGAGAGACTGAGATAAAACTGATTATGAGGATTGGCAAAATGATGATTGAGTGAAATGTAATGAGATTTGATGCCCAGGTGATCAGAGTAATTAATAAAATGGTTTCTCCTGATTTCTCTTTTGCTGTGAGAATGTGCAGACTATTGCTCTGGCCACTTGTAGCAGGGTATCGGCATCTGGCTGCTGAAAATTAATATATCTGGTTAATAATTGTGGTTTGTTCTTTTCTTTTTTTAAGACAGTTAATTGTTAGTTTCTGAAGTCTACATGTAGAAATTCCAAATAAGCCAAGGAAATTTAGATTTAAATATTCTCTAAGTATTAATTACATAATTAATAGAAACTGGTCTAAGCTATAAGTTCTGAAAATTTTGAAACTTCCAAATTCATGTAAGCAGATACCTTTGATAACAACAGATACCATGAAAAAGACAATTTTTTCCACAGATTTTCCTCCCTATGAGAATTTCTCCTTTTTTTTTTTTTTTTCCTGTTTTCAGCCTTAGATATATGTTTTCTGGATACCAATCGTTGCTGAATAATCTGAAAGATTTTGGTATTTATTTTCAGTACAATGGAGTTGCAGGGCTCTATTGATAATCATGATACCAAAAAGGAATGTACCTTCTTAGACTGGAAATCTCAACAAAGAAACAGAAACAAGTACAGAGTCTGCTTCATATTTCACCCAAAAGTGGATATCTCAAGTAGACACAGCTAGTAGTGATGTTGGAAACATTCAGTGTCTTGCTTTGTTTTTAACTAAATAATCAGTTATCTTACCTGAAGAATGAAGATTGGAGCTAAAGATCCTTAGTAATGAGCACAGCATAAATCACATGTATTGATATTGCATTCTGTTTAGAAAATGCCATCCATACAGAAGAGTGATGCTGTTGCTATTCTTTTTCCGAGAAGCAAGAGAGCACATTAGTTTAGTATAAAATACATACTTAAATTTAAGCACCTTCATCTAAAATTTTACCTAATTCTTTAAGGAATGTAAATGATCACTGCGTCATTCTGAAAGGAAACTATTCGCATAATGTTCTACAAGGGAAATTTACAGAAATTATGAACTGGAAATGATATCTCTGAATCAACTTCATTGTATTTATGAAAATTTCAAATGAGGAATAGTGTTTTTACCTTCATCAACCACTATGAAATTTCTATAGAAAAGATTATTAAAGCTTGGAGGAAGAAGCTATAACTGTCTTCCAAGTACAGGAGTACCTTCCTATTCTATTGTTATCAGTATAGATATATTCAGCTGACTTTCCTCTAGGATGTATTCATGAAAATTTAGTTTGTGTATATCTTAGAAAAGTCAGCCTTTTGTAAGGAATTCAGAACATCATGTCCTGAGACTAAGTAATGCAAACTATTGACAGGGTATTTCCTTAACTCCAGTGGCACTTTCTTAAATTATAGGTAAAAGTGGAACATGAATAGAAGTAATATAATTATAGTTGATCTTATACTTGAATAAAAAAAAAATTAAAAAAAAAAAAAGAGAGAAGAAGAAACTACTTACAAAGAACTCTGAGAAAAACAAGGAATTCAATTCTCTGTATTAGCATGAAGATACAGGTTTCTTATGGAACACTCCATTCTGCAATAACCTGCCATTTATTCACATGAATGTAAAATATCCATCTCCTTCTCTCTTGCTGCAATGCAATAGACTTCAGGCAGCGTCTGCTAGAAAGAGAAGGGTTAGCTGATGCCCCGAAAGAGGATAGCCTTGCAAGTCTTAAACAGGACTTCATGGGGAACCAAAAGGAGTCTGAGCTGAAAACTTTGTAGTTGGCTCAGTTTATCCATGAAAACATTGGGTCAGTGATCAATAGCTACCCAAATAATTAATAAAATATTAGGAATTTTTGGAAAAAAAAATAGGAAAGAAAAAAATATAATTCTGCCATTGCATAAATTCACAGTTCTCTCCTATCGTGAATAACATAGGCAGCTCTAGACTTCTCATCTCTGAAAAGATATGGAAGTACTCGACTCATTTTTGAAAAAAGGAGTAACCATGATCAGAGGAAGCAAACATTTTCCATAGTAGAAATAATAGAGTTGTTCAGGAAGAGAAGGGTTACCAATTTGAGGAGGTCATGTCAGAGGTCTATATAATTATGACAGGCATGAAGAATAAAGATAGAGATGAACTGAGGCCATGAAACGTGCAGCTTCCAAACAACAATGAAAAAAGAGCTTTCACATGCAACAGTTAGCTCTACCAATGGATGTGTGGACAAGAAAGCTATAAGGCATCTCAGGCAGTCTGGATTGCAGCAACCAGAGAAATAAAGTACAGAAGGTTCGGGGAAACCCTAATCTGAAAAAGGCCAGAGCGTGAGGGATGATTAATCACAGGGTTTTTGATTACAGGCAAAAATTATCTCCAATGACCTAGGATAATCGCTACTTCTCCACCAGCATGTGTGGACAATGCTGAAGTGCCACAACGTTTCTAAAACAAAACGGTGATGATCAGTTTTTCTATTATTTAAGTAATTTCGCCTTTTAGAGCAAAGGAGTCTGCAAGAGCCCTAAGGGCTGGTGTGTCTGCTATATATTTGGACTTCTGAAAATTTAATCAATGTAATCTAATCCCTATGATCTGTTACAACAGGGACACTTAATTTATTTTTACTTTGGCCCCCAGTGCTCAGACAATTTTCTTTCTTGGAAACACTCTCATAATTGTGTTTGATCCCTTTGTCTGAGGCAACCGAATGTACTGAGGGGAAAAATATGTGGAAATCACTGATGCTGTCAATTACAAAAGTGATTATTGAACTGAAGGTAAGTCTCTTCTGCAAGGGGAAAAAATAGAGAAAAGCTGTGATGAGCCACAAGAAAGAGCAGTGTCATATGTTGTACTAATACCCATACAAGTTTTCTTCATGAAATTTTCTAGTGTATTGCCTTTTTTCATCCTTGAAATAATCTTTGAGATGTAAGAGAGACTATACGTTTTGTGATTCCTTCTGAAGGATACCACAATAAGAATGATCACATTTCTCTTGATTACAGTAAAATGTTTATCCGTCATTCTTCTCTTGATCACAGTAGTATGTTTATCTGACGTTCATTCCCTAAATATCAATTTTCAGTTAAAAGAAATCAAAATTAAATAAAAACTACTATGGTGCATTGCAACGGGCCAATCCGTAGAAGACCCGTGCAATGAAGAGGTATGGAGAGTAGATCCCTCAGAGAAACCAAGAAGGAGCAATGAAAACAGACATACTATATTGTGGCAATTATGTGTGCTGTTTAGGGGAAAGGCACCTGGATACCAAGGATGAAAGAAAAACTTCAATTGCCAGATTCATGGTCACACAATGATAACTGTTTCACAGCTGGCTAAATGCTATCCTACAGTCTAATCTAAAGTAATCAGTCTTTTCATCCATTTGAACAAACCTTGGATCAAGCCTTTAACCTGCTCTCTCAGGAGAAAAAGCTGATATACTTTTATATATATATTATTGTTAAAAAACAGGGAAACTACTGAAGTGTTCATTATATACAAAAAGGATGGGCAAACTCTTTTGCACTTTACATTTACAAATTGAAAACTGACAGGAAAACCCAGTGGTGATCTTGGATATTTAGCAGAAACTTAAAACTGCCACTGACTAACACCTTTTTTTTACTGTGAGTAACCACTATAGATCATAGGAAAAGGAATACATTTGCCATAAATTTATAGCACCAATTTGTTGTCATGAGTGTTATGCAGTGAGAAATGAGGTTTGCATGAAACTGAAATTTATAGGCTTTATAGGGGAAGAAAAAAAGCTCTGTTACTTGTCACCTCGGATCTAACTTTAGCGCACAGCACATTTTCAGTGACAGCTTGTAATGCAGATCAGATAATATGCTCAATGTCATAGAAACGATTCAAGGTGTCAAAACAAAGCATGATTATTAAAACAAATCAGAGTGAGGAAAAAAAATGTAATAGAACAAGAAATGAGCATACCTACAAAAAGTTATTTTGGTCTACGTCTTTTCTGAGAGCTACAGTAAAATGGTAGCACTTAGCACGTAAGTTTCTTTTTTAGTACTGAGCTCTGTTTGTAACATAGAAAGGTCTTTGAACACACTCATACCTAAAAAATGTTTGGGATGAAACAGTCTCAGGTATTTCCTTATCTGTATTTTGGACTTTCTTTGAGTTACATATATTCTCCTTTATAGGATAGGTCTTTGTGATTGCATGAGAACTGCTGAGTCACGGCCTGACCCTCTGATTGATCACCTGAGGTGAGCAGTGAGTCAGGCACAGGAGCACAGGTGAAGGCAATTCACCTGTGCTGCTGGAAGGGGTGCAGCCTGGTTCCACCCCTCCTAGACCCATTTAAGAGCTGACTACCAGTAGGAAAGGGGCTCTTCTGGAGATCCCATCTTTGGGGTTTTGTGGTGAACCCAGGGTACAGGTAAGCTTTCTATCTATTCTCTTTTTGTTATTATAATCTGCTTTGCCAAACTCTCTTGCTGTGCTTGCCTGGACATCAGTCTGTATTCACCCAAAAAATCAGCTGGTGTGGAAAAGTAACACCCAGATTATTTCTTGCGATGGAGCCTGGAGCATTGACAGACTGAGAAAGCATGAAATAAGGCTAAGTATTGACATCTGATTAGTTAAGACAATTTGTATCAGTTGATATAATAGCACTCTTCTTCAAATTAGTAAAATCATACTGATTTAAGACTATCTGGGCTGGCCTACATCTGAAATTCTTCCATATTTTACATATTCTGGTGAAAAAATGAGATGACTTCATTCAGGTAGATGATCTGTTTCTCATATCTATGTGAAAGAAATATCAAATGTCTACTTAAGTGTGCAGATGTTACAGTATAGAAGAAAAAGTATGCTTGAGCAGTCTGCAGAATGGTAATGTTCTCTGCTGCCCTGGAAATAAATGCTATCTGCTATTCTAATATTGATTTTTTTTATTTTTATTTTTTTTTTTCGTTCTTGGTCATATTTAGTCAAGCCCCTCCAAACTAGCTATCAGCTATTCTAACAAAGGCTGAAACAGGAACAGAAGGTGAGTAAAACGTATTCAGCGTGGCCTATTCTCGAGACTCCCCCAAGTGATCTGTTTTAGCAGTTCTCTTTGCCCCTTGTTGAGCTGCATCACTGATGGTGGTGCAGATTCAAGCTAAGATTTTAAGAGACATTCCAGTGATTTAGTCTCAGTTATTATAAAAGTGTCTTGTTCAGGTGCTAGTTAGGTTTGCACAATTTTGACACCATTCTGGGCTTCTTATTTGTGCTTCCTCAACCCATGCTCTTCCAATCCTGCCAGAGACTGTACGCATCTTGCAGATACGAGAAAGGAGGATAAATTCCCCCTCACCTTTCCCTTTGCCGTGTAGGACTTGCTGCAGAACTCTGGTTATCTGCATTTTGGACAGCATCAAAGTGCATTTGCATCTAATACCACTTTGACTGAAAGCATGAAAATTTGTTCATACAAATTAGCCTGGTGAAAATGTCTGTTTTTTGTTTTTAGAGCTGATGTGTAAAACTGCAGATGATTATGTCAATCTTCACATAGTACAAATCTCTTAGGGAATTAAGAAGTTAATGGTTTTTTTGGCTTGTTTACTTTTGAGGTGAATGGGAATTTTGCCAATAGGCTACGATTAGTGTAGATTGAAAGCTTTTTTTTTTTTTTTTTTTTGTGGAATCAGACAACTGCCTGCTGACCTTGACTTTGCCTACTTCACCTCCTGACTCCAGTGTAAACACTTCTCAATTTATCTCGCACAATAAAAATAAATAAATAAATAAAAATAAAAACAGATGAAAGCCTAGCTTCCTCAGAGAGGAAAATGTTTTTTAGTAGTATGTTTCTGGCTCTTAGATATCTTACACAACCAGAACAATCCCTAGGAGTTAGAAAGGAGGTGAAAAAAGTGAGAATACCTTAGAACTAAATTCTTTCAAGACCTTCGTGTTATAGCCTCCAAAATACTACAGTGGTTGTTATGAAAATGTCAACACTTATTCATTATATTACTTTTTTTCTGTAAAGTTATTTTGTGTAATGAATAAAGTTAACTTAAAGATAATGGTGGCTATTAAAGCATCTTTAATAGCAACTATGACAAATTAAGAAGGCCAGAAGCAGTTAACAGGTAATAACTGAAGCTACATTAATGGAAGTTTTATTCCTTGTTTTTCAGAGAGCTCAATGAAAGATGTGTCTATGGAAAATATTACCAACTGTGAACTGGTTATATGCCCCCACTAGAAACAAAAAGCAGTACTGAATGACAATTATTTCAAAAAGAAAACCAAACTGTGGGCCAGATGGTCAGTGAGTATAGGTAGAAATAAACTACATTAAGTAGAAAGGGCCTGGTCTATGGCTATGCCTCTGTGCCACAAGGGAACATTGTGGCTCAGCAAGATGGCGTGAAGGATGGTCTTTCCGTTCCAGCAGTTTTTCTCTTTATAACTCAAGTAGTAACTATTTCCTGTTCCTGATATTCCCCTTTATAAACACTTACTAATTTGAGAAAAAGCCTTTGCCATTTGAGTATTAATAATGTATAAAGTTATTTTTACCTGGTTTTATATTTGCTCTTCTTGCTCCCTTCAAACTGCCTTGATTCTACTTTCTGTGGCTGAGCTGATGTGTTGTAACTCCCTTACCCTCTGCCTGTGTTTCTCTCCTTCTTTCATTTTCAAACTGCCATTTATTTCATTACTGATAAGGACTAGAAGCCAAAGTTAATCTGAAGCATGCCCCCCTTTAAATGTCCAGGAGTGGTTCATTTTGAGCAGAAATAGCGTCAATGTTTTTCAGCACTTCATACTAGAACATGTGCTCATGATTTGAGTTTTGGAATGATAGTCTCCTACTGAGAATAAAAGGACTCCTGAGTGTTAGACATGCAAGTCCAATAATCAGATTGAGAAAAATCAGGAGCCAGAACACACACACAATGTCTGCAAAGATCTATGCATTTCCCTGTTCCCATTAGAATTTTACTCCCATTTAATTTTAATTTTAATTGCTGTCTAACCTAGTAGAATACACATGCATAGGTCATACCCTGTGTTTTCATATATGTTCTTCCTATCTTATGTTGAAGCTCACTGGTGAATGCCTACTGATTAGGAAGAGTTTCCCTGTCTTTTAGGAGGAACATAACACCGGGAGTTACTTGATATGAAATTTTGCAGCACATGCAAGACTTTTGATAAATGTCAGCACATAAGTTAATTTCATCCGTTTCATAAACTTACTGTTTTCTTTCAGTGCTTCCCCCCTCCCCCCCCCTTTTATTGCAGAAGGTATGTTCATTCTTCTCTTAAAAACCTGTTTTTTTTTTTTCCTTTATTTTCTCAGATCATGTTGTGATTCTGTTCTGTTTTCCCCCTTCTTTCATTTATTTCTCTCTCTTTGAGCCTTAGGCCAGCCTTTTTTTTTTCCTCTTGATTTACATTTCTTTCTCTAAGCCTTTTTCATTCAATTCTCTCTTTTTCTCAATCTCTCTTTCTTTTTCTCTTTTTTTCTTTTTTAGTAATTAAACAGAAAAATAATTGTTGCCTTCCAAATTCTATTTGAGGTTATTTTCTTGGCACATTATAAGTCAGAGTAGCTTTTTTTTGCTTTGCTTTCTACCTCTTTGCCAGCACAAACTGCAAAATTGCTCAATGAAATGAAGCTTATGAGATTCCAAATCTCTGAAGTAATGTCTAGGGATAGAAAACAGTAATTTGTTTTTCCTGAGAGTTATCTTAAATTCACCTATTTTAAAGTATCTCAAGGAAAGAAAATTCTATACATGAAATCTCCAAGTACAATTCCTATTTCACAGTGAGCTCTCTAGATGGGTTATCAGCCTGGGATCAGTTACCAGACACCTTGCTGATGCATGAGCTGGGATGAGTATGAATAACATAACTTAAATGAAGTGTTAATATAACTTAAATGAAATTTATCAAAAATTATTCAATTTCCACTAATTATAAATAGTAGCTTAGACAATTAATTGTTCAAATGATTGTGATTAAGTTTACTTTGAAGAAGGCAAGACAGGTTAGAAAACGAAAATATCCCAGAGAAAAAGCAGAAAGCAGATGAAACGTATGTATTTCTGAGATCTCAGCTAGCCTGGGGTTACTCTGGAAAAGGTGGTCCCATGCAGAATAGACAAAGGAAAATTATTTCATCCATCTTTATCAGATCTATGGAGATTTCCAAAGACAGGTGCTGGTTTTCGTGCAGGATATATCACACATAATCTTCTCCCATGGGAGGATTTGTACAGAATGGAGCAGGGCAGGCCAGCAGGAAAACTCCCATCCCAGCTATGATGCAATTGGTTTGTTGGCCAAGTGACTAGAAAAATAGCATCTAGCTAGATGTCAGAGCCTGCAAGGGCTGTGAGTGCCATCCCCCGCTGTGGCAATAGAAAAAATTCTGCCACTTCAATGGAACATCAGTCAGTGCAAGGTTGGAGGGAGTCTTACAGGCCAATTGGGATCACAAGGTAGAATTTCTTTTCTGCGGTGGATACTAGTAATGTGCCAGGCATACATCTTTTTTTTCATGCAACTCATCCCTATACTGATAACAAGAATAACAAGATAAGCTACAGATTTGGGAACCTGCCTTTTTGCACATAAATGCTGGGGTAGTTGAACCTGGGAGCATCTTTCTTTACACAGGAAATGAATAATATCTATTGTCATTATTAGCTGTACTATCCTAGAAACATAGATTCCTTACAGCTGGAAGGGACCTTTAATGGTCATCTAGTCTAATTTCCCTGCAATGAACAGAGATATCCACAGCTGGATCAGGCTGCTTAGAGCCCCAACCAGCCTAGTCTTGAACGTCTCCAGGAATAGGGTATCCACCATATCTCTGAGCAACCTGTTCTAGTGCCTCACTACCCTCACTGTACAAGACTTGTTCCTTATTTCCAACCTAAATCTGCACTTTTTAAGTTTGAAAATGTTTTCCCTTGTTCTGTCACTATGAATCCTCCTGAAGGGTCTGTCCTTTCCTATAGATCCCCTTTAGATACTGAAAAGCCAACTCGACATTCTCCAGGCTGAACAGCCCAAGCTCTCTCAGCCCTTTCTCACAGAGGACATGTTCCATCCCTTGGATCACTTTTTGTGGTGTTCCTCTGGACACAATCCAACAGGTCTATGTCTCTTCCATGGACTTCACATCTGGACACAGTATTCCAGGTAAGACCTCACCAGCACAGAGTAGACAGGCAGGATCACCTCCCATGACTGGCTGGCCATGCTTCTTTTGATGTAGCAATTCAGCCCAGGATATGGTTGGCTTTCTGGGCTGTGAAGGCACATTGCTGACTCTTGTTCACCTTGCCACCCAATAGTACATCCAGGTCCGTTTGTTTGTGTTTTTTTGTTTTTTTTTGTTTTTTTGTTTTTTTTTGCTGTGGCTATGTTCAGTCCCTTCATCCTCCAGCTTGTGTTGGTAGTGGATGTTGCCTTGACTCAGGTGCATGACCTTGCACTTGGATTTGTTGAACCTTTTGATGTTCTCCTAGGCCCACTGCTCAAGCCTGCCCAGATTCCTCTGGATGGCATCTTGTATGTCAACCACAACCCATAGCTTGGTGTCATCAAATGATCCTTACACACTTTAGTGTGTAGAACTTCAGCAAAACTAAAACAAAGCTTACACACATGAGTTACCTTATAGGCCAGTTGCTGTGAAATTCTGCACTTAGGAATGAACTCAGGTGAATCAGTTTATTGCAACAACAGAAGTCATTTTCATCTTAGTCAATGGTTTATCATTCTAACACTTGTTACTGTGCCATAACTCTTCATGAATGAGGTTGTTTATACAGAATCTGGAAAGTCTTAACTTACCAAAATTAAGGGTGGGAAAAAAAATGAAAAAAAAAAATCAGAAAAAATGCATTAATTGCAATCATCTTTTGTTTACCTTTCTTATCAAAGAGCTGATCTAAAACTGTATTTGGCTGTGTAGACTGAAGCTTAGCATTCATACCTTCTGAAGCACCACTTATGGTGATAACACCATCTGAATAGATATTCTGTTAAAGTGGAATCTGCATGAATACTGTCTTAAGTAAGGTTCCACCACTGTCATATTGCTGTCAATAGAAGGAAATTCAATTCCCAGGAGCTGTCCCAGTGAAACATCTAGTTGAACATGTGAGTTCCAGCTAATACAAGCTTTCCAGTTCAGTGTCACTGGGACTTGGGCCTTTGGTGAGTATTGTGAACTACTATTTCCTGAAAGAAACAAGCACTGAGTTCTTAACGAGAACTGAAGAAACAGTTTCAAATGGACCCTAGCTTCTTCCATTTATTGAAACCTACATAATGTCTGCATTCATAACCTAAAATATGCGGAAATTGAAACGTTCTTCCTTAAGCTAGCATTAGTTCCATTTATTCTATCACAGCCTTTCATAAAACAACAGAATGAGTTTTAAGAACAACATCTATTGTACTGTTCATATAAATTAACTGCATTCAGGAACACTGTGTAACACTAGAAATCAATGATCTGGTTTCATTAATGGTCAGAAATAGACACAGCTTTCTCCATTTTGTGATTTGTAGTAGGTTTTGCAAAGAACAATTATATTTATCAAATGTAGCATCCAAAGAGAAAGAACAGCATGAAAGATGAAAAACCTCTGTTCTTTGAAAACCGAAGTCACTCTTCAATTTTAGAGGCTGATTCAGGTTCATGAGTGCTACAAGTGGGACATAGGCTGAGCTTGAGTCAGCTTGCTTCTATTTGTCTTTAGAGTGGGCAGTTCAGACATAAAGGGTGGCTGGTCATGAGACCAGTTTGTATGGGTATGTTCTTTGTGCCTCCAGTGCACTGCAAAAACCAAGGGGATCTCCCTGGGGTAGTACTTGAGTTCATAGTAGGTGGAGAAACTAATTTATAAACTTTGCAAAACTAAATGGAAGGTGTTTAAACACCATATTTCACTTTTTTCTAACATGTAAGATCTTTAGTCAAAGCACTGCGATAGGCTTCTGAGGACTGTCATGAAAATTATACTGTATTAAATGATTTATGTAGATGAGTATTTCTGGACTGCCTGAGGCTCACCACACTTTAGGCATAAGTCAGGGAAAAAGATGTTCTGTAAGCTTAGTTGCCTGCCAGAAGAAACAATGCTCTTTAAATCTTGATTTTGTTTTATTGGGTTTGGGGTTTTGTTTTTTTTTTTTGTTTTTTCAGATGAAATTCAGCCAGTTAACAATAAATATTCCTTATTTTGCACCTTTATGGTGCTTTTTAATTAAATACTCCATTAAGCTGAATGCTAAATGAATTTTTTGGGTCAGAAGATGAACTATTTGCAGATGATTACTTGCTCAAGGCATGTTTTGAATCCCACTGAAATTAATATAATTCTTTTCAATTACTCCAGTAGGTTTGGGACTAGACAGCAAAGCAATGTGATTGGAGCAACAGAGACAACTCCATGTAAGGGACTGCAATCTCATACGAGAAGGCATTTGCATGTTTCATCCAACAAATAGATAGAGCCATAATAGTTATTAGCTTATAAATGTTATGGAACTAATAATCATCTCGCATTAATTTGACAAAGTATTTTTCAACAGTGGAAATGGCTGTTTGGCTCCAGAGAACAGAAGTTTGTTAGCATCCATACTATTCTATTTGAGGATGCAGGAATGCTTTTGAATAATTAGGTTTCCAGAATTTTTATGTGTGTATATACACACACACAGGTAAAAGTACTGATTTAAAAAGTCCAACTACCCTACAATTTCCACAATCAGCAACAAATCTTTTGTAACATTTCATTGCTTTTCATACTCCTGTGTCAGACACTGCTGTCGTGTGGATATTTTCATCTCTGCCTTTAAGTGGGAAGATTTCTATTTATACAGACGTATGAAATCGCTGGAAGTTGATGAATTAAAACATTATTCACTCAGGAGAACATGACCACCTTATAAAGACTGATGAAACAACCACCAGCAACTTTAAGAAATTGTTTACCGTTCTCTGGATGATCACAGCTTGATCTGATTTTGATCTTTCCATATTTTACACATAACTTATTTGTAGCAGACCAATGAAAAAATGGATGTTTATTTGTGTGATGTTAAGTCACTGTTCTCTAGTAATTCCCTCTTTTAAACGCATACACATACTGAGTAATGTAAATAACTATTTTCTATGATTATTTACAATCATAATCATGAGAGGCTTATTGGTTTTGCTATGTTGTTTTGGAAGCACTTTTAAGTCCTATTAAAGACCAGGATCTTTTGGTACCAAAATACAAAATCTGTTCTCACAAGATATAAACAGTTTTCATTCCAGTTCATACTTAAAAAAAGCAGTTGTGGAGGCTGCATGCATGTGGTCATCAAAATAATTTGTAAGAAAAATAGCCTGTAATCAAGTATTTACTGATTATTTGTAACTAGTTCCTTAAAGGCTGACAAGCCTATAATTCTGACAGATTTAATACAGAGTTATGTTCTTCTACCTCCACAAATTATTCTTGTTATGGAGTATAATAGATAATGATCTGTAGATCCTTATCCAAAGTTGACAGACATCTTTCTCCATGAATCCTACTACTTAGTACCAATCAGACTGCAATTTACTGCAATGCTTAAGGAAAAAAAACCAACAACAGTATCCTCCTCTTTCAGAAAAATGAGTGAAAATGGCAGACTCTTCAGCTGTAAGAAAAAGCTACCAAAAAAGGAAATTTTCTAGACACTACAAAGTTCTCTCTCTCCCCCCTCCTGATTTTTTTTTTTGCCCTTCCAGTTCCAGACTTTGCAGATACTGTGCATTATTATTGAAGGAATGTACAGTATTCTCACTTTTAAAGATTTTGCTTGGAACACCCAGATATTCAGATGGCATCATACAGAAGACAAAAAGACTGTTTACATTATAGGGCTGCTTTTCTATCTGCCCGACTGTATATCTTGTTTACTGAAGTGTCATTTTTAAGAAAGTCTTTAGAATCATTAAAGATTCTGAATTCCTGGCTCCACACAGGACCACCTAAAATCCAAACCGTGTGTGTGAGAGTGTTGTCCAAACGCTCCTTGAACTTGGTGCCATGCCCACTGCCTACTGATGAAGAACCTTTCCTTAAAATCCATCCATGTATGCCCTGTAGATATGTGGGAGCGGGACGAGACTTTCAGGAGCCCACGCAGCCCTGTCTTCACCAACCTGAAACTCACATCTTTCAAAAGGTCAGGAGAGATTTTTTGAGGCATACATTTTACACAAACCCATGTCACATCAGATCCCTGTTGCTAGGGCAGTTACAGCAAGCTGTGCAGGGAATCTACAACTGCTGGAAATTTCTTTCAGCTCAATGTGATTCACAGACACGAGCACTAATAAGAACATAGTGTATTATTAAAAATATCAGCTTGACAGGGCTCAGCAAGTGCCTGTAGCAAGTGTACCTCAGAAATGGGGAAAAAGCCCGACTCCATTAACTTTCTGCATCTGAGCCTTCTTATCTGAGGAGGGAGGCAGAGAAATTACACAAGGTTGAGATTTTAATGAGAAGAAGTGGAGTATTAATGAAATGCTAATGAGATCTACATAATCTAGTGTGTCACTGCGGGCTTTCAGTCCTTTCAAGCCTGGTAAACAAAACAGCAACCATTGCTTTGCCTGAAGTAGATTCATGAATTTAGCAGTGGAATTTAAAAGCATTAAAAATGCCTTGTGTCCCTGGTAGTGACATTAAATCTTGATTTTTTAAAAAAAATAAATTTCTCAAATGTAGAAGTAAGACCTCAAGTTTTTCTCCTGCTGTGGATTTGCTACATACAGCTTTAGAGTCAGGCCTCAGAAGTGACCAGGTGGTTTGCACAGGATTGGGTGACACCATTTCTACTTAGGTAACTAGAGCTAGAGCTAGAGCTGAAACACAGGTTTCAGTGGAAAGCATCTCTTTGGAAAAGGAGATAAGTCACAGAACTTTGTAAATGAGTTTGTTTTTCTAGGAGAAAATGGCACTCAGGAAAATGAGAAACAGAGAGCAGTATCTGCATCCAAGCAGGGGAAGGAGTCCTAACTGGCAAAACAAAGGTCTCTGTGACCAAAACCTCTTCCCGGGGAAGCTAACAAAGATCCTCAGAGTACAGAAAAATACAGACAGAGTAGCAGAAGCAGCTGATCAGAGTAGTACTTTTGTCTGGCAGAAAATAATCATTTTGAATGAAAAAGATGTGCAAATTTTTCTGTTTGCTTCTCTATGCAGGCTGAGAAAGTGATTGCCAGGAGCCCCAGATCAACCTTATTTTCTCATGCTATGAGGGTGGTAGCCAGCTGTAAAACCAGGGCTTTGACTTCACACTGGTCTGACTCATTTGTCCGCTCAAAGCCCTGGCGGAGGGGCTGGAGCTGATACAGTTGTTATAAATATTTCTCCTTTCCTGCTATTCTCTTTTCAGTGTGTTTCCAGTGCTCAAGCCTATGGGGAGCTTTCAGGCAAGAGATTTTCCTTTGCAGAGTGACTTAACTTTGGGCCCAAATAGGCTGTCAGAAGACTGGAGTGCTAAAAAAGGCAGAAGTAGGTTGGAACTATTTTTATAGCCCTGTGATCCAAAGGCGATCTTTGTCTTATACAGGAGAGAACAAGTTTCAAGCTGTTCTATTTTGTTTCCTTGTTTTACAGCCTTCAGTAGCCCTCTCTGCCCCTCAGGGATCTGTGAGACACGGGGCCACAGCTGCCACTCGTCTCCCTTCCAGCAAAAGGACTCGAATTCACAGAGGAAAAATTTAAGTTAGTTCTGTCCTGGTACAGAAACAGCCAAAGGCACCATCGAAGATGTTCAGAATTACTCTTTGCATCATCTGATTTCTTTATACATGGCTCCTAAGAAAACTTTACATATGAACTGAACTTCAAGTCAGATTTCAGTGGTAATATCCACCACCCCTACATATGCAAGTTTGAGGCTTTACTAAAAAGGTCTTAAATGTAGCTCTAAACTGGAAGAAAATTTGCATTCTTGCAACTACCAAAATGATGCCAGCTCAATAAAGCTCATTTGGATCCTCCATATATAGCATCAAATTGCTGATTCCAAACACTTTCTTCCAGACAAATGACTTATTTCCCACAGGGAGAAGAAAAATGCAGATAGAAAATAAAAGAAGTCATTCAGCAGCTTCAGATGTATTTTTACCTTGAATCTGTTTTCCTCTAGGTTTTTACTTTTATTCTTCAAGAAAGAAATGTCTTTCCATTTCAACACTTCAGCTATACATATATCATAATAATTTAGCATACATTCCTCTAATCTTTGATTAATGTCTTACCTTTTACTTAAATACCCATTAGCATGAAGTCATCACAGTAATTTCAGTTGAATCCCCATATCACTGACATATTGTTAATGAGGACATGATTAGCATCTGAAATTTTCAAGGGATGATTGCTGAACTGTTTGGATTCTTCCCATCAAGACAGACTCTCTAGTTCTTTTACAGGTAAAGAGAGATCTTTGAATCAGATTCTTCCACATTTCTTTGTATGAAAATTCCAAGTCAAGATAAGTGCACAATTTCTGAAAGTTAGTTGGTATTTGGGTGAAAAATGTGCTCAGATTACTTTCTCACATGCTGATCTTCATTACTTTATTATTTATTTTTTCTTGACTGACTTGTATGTTTCCATCAAATCCTTTTCTTCCATCTGAGTCTATAAGAATCTGCAGACAGGATTACCTCTTATGGAAACACAGGTAACAAAATTTTTTATCTTCTAAAATACTGCTTCTGAAACAAATTTTACTTTCATTTACATGAAACCACATGCAAATCATATACAGTCTAAAATGTTCTTTTCAACAAAAATAGTCCTCCATATGCTTTTGTTGATTTTTTTTACGTGCTCTATTAAGTTCCAAGTGCCAGAATTAAATGACTGACAGTGCATTTGTTTGTTGCAAAAACTTTCGAGATCCACTGAAAATCTCAATAGTATCTATCTCTGAGCGTGGCAAGAAAATAACGCTGTCTACATTCCCCTACCTCTGTTCTCTTATATGTTAAATGAGAACAACGCTGACTTGACAGAGCTACAATTTGATACTTGAATTCATTAGTGTTTGTAAGATACAGTCCGAAGTGAAGTTTGCTGGAAGCACTGCTACCTTAAGAAATATAATCTCTTCCTGTCTTTTCCAAAATCTTCCCAGAACTAGGACTGCAGTTTTAACACTGAAAGAAAATCTGTGCATGAAGTATTGTTTCACTACCTTGTGCCTCGTTAGCATTTTATGTCCCTTTCCTTGCAATCCTGGTGTTCTTGGACATATAAGTATGGACTAACATAATCTGCTCAGGATCTGCAAAAATGGGGAAGATGAGCTCACAGAAAGCTGTGTGCTGCTGTGTTACCATGTCTGCATGAAGGAACTCGGATACTTTTGCTTTGCATGCAAATCAGGTCAGTTGTCAAAGCAGTCTCCTGATACCACTGCCGAGGCTTTGCCATTCCTGCTTCTTCCTGCTGTGTTGATTCATATCTTTCAGATACTAGTGGTAGAGGCTCACTGTCTCAGATAAAGAAAACATCATTATTATTCACCTCTTGCCCTTTCTCCTATTGTCATTGACCCTGTGGGTGTTTATAAATGTTAATGAGGACTGATCTGTATTTTTGGCAGGGTCCGATAGTCAAAGCACCATGAGTGCAGTACCTTGTGCTTTGCCTTGTTTAGCATAGTTGATAGTATCGTGAATTTACATGGCTTTGTTACTCTCCTTGCACTGTTTAATTGAATGAAAATTACCTGAGGTTCGCTTTATCCCTTGTACTGTGTAAGCAACCAGTAGACTTGGATCCTGTTTTCTGCTTCTGTTTATTGAACTTGTCTTTCTCCTGTGTTAATTACTGAGATGTCCACTTTAAGTACCTATAACTGTGGTCCTAAATGTGAATACTTTTGTATATGTTACTTACATTAAGCATGTGAATAGTCCTACTGAAATCCTAAAAACAGGAACAGCTTAAGTTACGGATTATTATAATGCAGTATTTGAATTATTTCCAGGTTACTAGAATGCTGTTTCATAGGACTGAGAATGCCACAACTTATCAGCTTGCTCATCTGTACCTCATACTTCATTTTACTCATCTGTAAATAAGATATTCTTCATCTTATTTAGTCCCCATCACAGCAGCAACTAGCAGTATTATTAGAGGTTTTATGCAATGCAAATAAAGTATAGGAGTCTCTAAATAAGGTCTTAGATATTTATTAGAATATTAGCTACCATAATAATTGAAGCACTGGGGTGAATTTCACAATAATTGTATTAGTTTAAAAACAGTGAAATATTTTCCTTGTTTATAAGGTTATGCCTGCCCTGTGTACAAATTTTTTACTGTACTGTACAAACGCAACACCTGAGTGCTGAAAGCAATCAGTTAAACTGTTAAGTAAGCCACAGGGGTTGAGAGCAGAGGAACAGAGTTTGAAGAGCAATTACTGAAGATGAAGAAAAAGGCAATTTAGAAAGCAAATTCAAGTATAGTTCAAGTTTAGTCAAGGAGAAAGAGAGGGAAAAAAACCAGTGTATTACACATCTAGATTTTTGTTAGTTCCTTCAAAGACCCACACTTCAGTTTGTTCATTCTTAAAGTCCTCTACAATTAATGCAAAGAGAGGTCTGCCATTCCTGCATGGATCATCTATCCTTAAAATCAGTGTCTAAAATATTACCCTTTAGTGCTCTTTCTCTCTCCCTCCCTCCATCATGAGTAAAGGAAGATGTCTTAGAAAGATAGTTTCTACAAATGGCTTACTTCTGAATAAATTTACGTGAAAAAATTCAGTCAAAAAAGCCCAAGGAAGTTACAGCTTGCTCAGTTGCTTGAATGAGGAATATCCAGGCAGCAAGATTTTCTTTTTTTGCAGTTTCTAATACTAGTACACAATGTGAATATTTTCACAGAAACTGTGGTATCTTCTTGATAATCTATTTTTGCATCAGACTGTACTCAGAAAAATAGTATAGTCAATAAGAAAGTGGCATTCACACTGCACATTTCCTGGCTTGTAAATCATAATTAATAGGAGGAGACACTTGTGCTGATATCTACTCTTGGAGTTGTAGCTCAGCAGGTTTGTCTCCCAACAGAGTCCCTCAGCATCCCATGCTGGGGTCCTGGTAGCTTCTTTCTGAACCAAAGATGCCAAATCTAGCCAGGAGACACCAAACTCAAGAATGCTGTGCAAGAGATGTACATCCAACCAGAGAGGTGACTCATGAACACCAGCACAGGCACTAGCACCACTTTTTTTTTTAACAAAGTGAAGTGATGGAAAGGTATAGATTTGCTGAGAATTCAGAATGGCTCGTCTTCTTGAAGAGCTGCAGTGATAGGCCAAAAATGCTTGGCTCTGCCTTGAGTCACACATCTCTTCAGGCCTTAGCTAGCCATCGTGGGGGTGCCCAAAGTGCAGCAGATGCCTGCAGGCTTACACGAGTCCATTTTCACTCAAGGTAGCTCTTGGGACAAGAAAGCAGAGGCTGGGAGGCTTCAGGTCTGCTCTCAAGTAAATAGGAAAAAAGGAGATATGCTGATTTAATGTTGAGCTTTCCATTCAAGAGCAGCTGAGCATTGAGGGTGGAAGAGAGAACCAGGAGCAGCTTTTTGTGGTTCACAGGTAAGAGTAATGGCCAGCACCAAGTCACATTGCACTGTATAATTGTTTTCTTCCCTGGCACTCTTTCTATTTTTAGGCATTTTAATTTCCTGTAATCTTTCCACAGTCACATGTGAGCAAGTAAACAGATTGTTTTGAATTAAACAGCTGTGCTAATTTATTGCACTATTAAAAGCATAGCTCGAATGTTCCGTTCACTGCATGCTGGGACTGGATGTACTGGTGTGTACAAATGGGCACACATCTCCCTTCAAATTAAACTTACACATGCCACAGAAGAGGCAGGGCAGGGTAGCAGGCAGAGCAACTGGAGGACATTCAGTTCCACTGGAGACTGTGCACAGAGGAGGCTGTAGCTGTGCTTGAGAGGGACCTGAGGCAGCTGTCTCCAGGGCAGGAAGGAATGGACATCCTCCTGGCAGCGCTACTGAGTGAGCCACAGCCTTCTCTTTTTGCTGACCTACTGCCTGGAATTCTAGAGAACTGTTTTGGTCAAGGCAGATTGTGTTTGATCTCCTGACCACAGGTGCAGGTACAGGTGCTCTCTGTCTCCTTGACAAGGCAAGGAACATTTCCTTCCCCAAGCCCTGTACTAGTAGAATTTTCTCTGGCCAATCATCAGCCACCCAAAAGGAAAGATAAAATGGACTCTCTGCAAACGCACCTACCTTCTCACAGTGGTCTATATGCTTGAGGCCAGAGTGAAATAAAAGGATTCAGGGGAACAGACCTAAAGCACCAGAGAAGGTAAAACTGGTTGTGAGCTCAGTGGGCCCCCAGTGGTCAAGGTCACCTCACACTTTATATATCAGTTCTGGTCTTTCTTACTAAAAGATGCAATCTCAAACACACTGTTTATCAATTTTTCTTTCTTCCTGGATTGAATTTCTGGGACACCAAATATATATTTTAAATGAAAATCATGAGAAGTGGAAGGCTGTTATGATCTTCTGAACTGATCTAGGAGAATATCCATATTAAATAAGTCCATGGAGAAAGCAAGAGATGTTGCAGTCAAGATAAAGAAATATTTTTTTTATTTTGGGTTTTCTTGTCAGAAGTTTGAAATTGCTCACCTCTATAATTCTCACATCTTCTAAAAAGCATTCCTGAATTTCTAAATCTTGCTTCTCTGAGCATTTCTACCAATAGCAAAGGAAACAAATTACAATTACCTTTCTAAGAGACCTAATGGCACATAAAATACTTGGGTGAATGTACATGACTCTTCGCTGTGTCTTGGCTGCCCTAAACCTGAAACAATTCTAGGAGAAAAATCCAGTCATCCCTCCTAATAGGTAATCAACCCTTTGAAATGCAATTTTCACATTTCCTATGCATTTATTCTTTACATTCTAGAGCTTCTAGGTTAACAAGTAAGA